CTACAAATATCCCGTATGCTTTAAACGTTGAAAATTCGCTGCCAAAGTTGTACTTTGATGATATTAACAAATTATTATTCTACGAAGTTATGAGAAATAATCTTTACTCTAGCCCTTTTTAGTTTTCGTGTTTTATTTTGTGAAAACTATGTAGTTAGTATACATCATTTTGGCATCGCAAAGAAGTCTAAAAACTCACTGTTGCCTGGGTAACTGTTAGATCTAAGTTCTTCTCCAAACTTCCTGTGTTTCTGGAGAAGTGTAACACATAATTTCAAAGAAGAACAAGTCAACCTAACGAAAATTTTAACAAGTGCAGGACGGAGACAATCCTAAGGGCTTGGAGACCACGACATAAAAGAAGTAGTAATAATTTTTCAATATTACTAAAGCAAAGTACAACTTTTTAAACAAATTTTCAACGTTTAAGGCCTAGCCGCCCGCTATGGCCTTCAAAAGCGGCTCTGAACAGTTTCACCACTGTAAAATACATGAAATTACTATAAAACAGCAGGTTTTTTTTTCAGTTTTACATTCCACTTCGGCTCGTAGCTCTAGATACCGATGAACAATACACCAAATTTTGATATTTGTAGAGTAGAGAATTCTACACAAAAAATTCAAAGACATGTTTTTTTTCCATGTTTCTTTGAAATATTACTTTTACTATATCTATGTGATTTATAGAATTGGAACGTTTAATATGCATTCGAAAGTTCAGGACATGAGAAATCTAATAAATACAAAACTGTTAAGTTCTCTAGAAAATAGGTTAATTTACAAGTCTGCAAAGGTAGGCATATCGAGCAGCAACCTAGCAAATTTTGCTAATTCGAGAGGTGTAACTTGGCCGGGAATTCACTTTTCCAGGTTTCTCTCCCGGCTTTGTAAATAGTGACCTAGACTCTACTAATCGGCAAAATTTAAAAAAAAATTCAGAGATATGAAAGGAAAGAAGCGTGCGATTTTGCATGAAATGGCTCATATATGTATACCTCAGAGAAATAATGTTTAATTTGGCGCGGGAATTCCTTTGCGTACAGTAGAGGAAATACGGTAGCGCTCTCGGATGATGGTAGGGAGAAAGATGGTGGCTCAAACACGAATTATGGATTTATATACCTGACTTATTCTGGATGTATTGGGGTTATCTGTTTTGGTATCATTTTGTCCGACATGTTCGCGACCATACACATAACGACTGTTTACTAAACTCTGATGCCCTCGCCGAGTTATTTTCCGGGATGTGATTTAGAGACAGGATCCCAAATTTTGTGTCTATGTTCTTCGCTTTCTACACCATTGAAAAATGCAAGAAATTCGGCATGTAACTCTCATCTACATCTGTGGTGAAAAAAAGTGCTAGTGTACTCTTTATTAATACTAAATCTAAGTTAAAGGTGTAGTAAAAGAAATGTCCTGATCAAATGCAAAAAAATCTCTTTCCTTTAGCAAGAAATAATTTTAAAAAATGAGCCTGTTTTTTCCACTAAATACCTTAATCCGAAACATACACTTGGACTCCGGCGTTCAAACCCTAAACACATACTTGTTAGGAAGCAGAAGTAAAAAAAAAAACGTGGTTCTCATGCATGCATGTGATGAAGGTATCTGTAGGAGAGGGAAAGAAGTTTTATCTTTATATAAGGAGGAGGTTTGAAACAGTTGACTAAATAAGCTTACTTTAGCATGATGAAATGAAAAAGCATAAAAGAAAAAAAAATTAATGCAGGAAATGAATTGTCGACCCTTTTAGATAACTGACCAGAATCAGGCACATGTGGTAACAAATCGGTGTGCCGTGTAACGTTCGGAGAGCGAAAGGAAGGTTCTGTTAGGTTATTCAGGGTTCTTATAATGCTACTATCATAAGTAAACTTTATGCTGATGCAAAGTGCAAATCGCAAAACCGACACTTCCCAGAGCATACGGGGTTTGCACAGCAGTGCCAAAAGCTTCTTGATTATTTGCCAACTGCAACATTAAACACAAAACAGCTATATTTCGTACAAGGTGCCCTCTCGCATTATCGCGTCATCGCCGAAGTTCAGTAGCGCACCTTTTACGACGGTGGCGACCGCTGCAGAGTCATTTTCTATCTTGTCATCCTTGGGTGATGTAGCCGTTTGAAAGGTTTAATTGGGTTACATTTGCATTTCAACAAATTCTTGCTGCCGCGTGGAGTATTAAAAACGTTTTCTGGTATTTTTTAGAGTGTTAGCGTTTTTGGTTCTTCATTGTAAGAAAGCACTTTTATTACTGATGGGTGCGCATGGTGCATTTGTTGATAAGAGTTACATTTTAAGCTCCTTCTAAATTTTTTACAATTTTCTGTCATTTATACTTGATGTGGAAATGGTATTCTTTAAACACGATTAGAAAAGCTTCACTAGGCATACGGACCCAACCATCAAATATAAAATTTTTGCCTGCAGATAACGAACGGGGAAAGAGTTGTTTTATTTCTTGATTTTTAAATCTTCCAAAAGGGAATGATGGATAAACCAATTTTGTGGGATATATTTATTTGGGTAGTGAGGTTTCAGTGCATTTGATTGATAATTCGATTCTTAACTTTTCGGCTGGGAAGTTTAAAATAAGCCATTATTCTAAACGCTTGATGCTTGCAGAGTCAGTGGCTTTAGAATTGTTCGAATCAGCAAGGCTCATACGTGTAAAGTCAACAGTTACTACGTCATTTACTGTTTTTGTTTGTCTGGTGCGAATGAGTTGGACTGTTTTTATGGTTTTCTTGGTCTAGTTGGAATAAACTTCTGGCTTTGCGCGATATTAGTGAAGTAAAATTGATTTGGAAGAATAAAATAGTGATTTCGAAAAGTTTTTATTTTCCTATGACTAAGTTTACCATTTCTGAACATCATTTACTCTGGAAAATTGTTTGGAGATTCATAATCGGATGCTGTTTGCTATTTTATAGTTAATCGCATACGTTTCAGTCCTCTATCGTCTAGGAATGCGTCCTGTTTCATCAAATGGAGCACCTCAAACCACTAGTGATCCTGCATATGTCGTAGGTTTCCTCCATCTTTTGATTTCAGGTCTACTTGTGTGATAAAAGTGTAGCTTATTCTTTGAAGAGTTAAAGTTTTAAAATTTTGCGGTGATGCCCTCCAGAAGCCTTATGTTGTGACTTAGTTTTTATCCCCCAAAATCCACCTTTAGGCGTATATTAATGGAGATTACAAGAAAGCTCTTGATCTGTTGAATAGTTTAAAGGGACAGACCGACAATCCATATGAACTTCGTCGACTGCTCACTAACATAAAGTTATGTGAGTGTCGTATGAATGGATTGTTGTTTTCGACCTATTATGGAGATGGGTTGCTGGAATTATTCCCAGAAGTAAGATTTGTTTGATGATATGTTGTAGAATATTCTGTAGAATTATTGTCATACAAAAATTTTATCGTGCAGCCAGTTGATCTTCTTGCTAGTAATGCATATAACTGTTTAATGGTTATTGTAACTTCCTATAAAATTTATTCATTTTTTGCTGAAAATGTTTTTTGACTTCAGCTGAGGTCACCAAAAGGGCGAACTTTGAGTAGTCAATCAGAAGCATTTGCAGCATTCAACTTAGCTCTGAATGCCTTCGCTAGAGGGAATCGTAAAACCGCAATTGACCTCCTCCACTGTATACTCACTTTACGTGGCCTTCCTAGTAAACGTTTAAATATAAGAATTTTTTTGAAAGAAAATTAACTGGAGGTTATACACTGTATAAAGTAATTTTTCATTTTTGCTAACGTTTGATAATGAGCAATTTAGCTAAACTTTTTCTCGTCGTTTCTTTGCTGGAGATCGAGATGAGTCTGACATTCTGTCAGCCAAAATTGGCGTTGAAGTTAGCGTTAAGACTGCGTGAAAACACTACTTGGAAGAGAGCTGATGCATCGGAAAAAGATTATCTAGAATGTCTTGAACAGAGAATTCGTTGTCGCCTTGCACAGACAGCTTCTTCCACTGATGGTTTACAGAAAACTGGTGTAAGCTGAAATGTTTAGTTGTGTACTTAAACTCCCCCCCCCTCCCCCGTCGCTTCTTGAATTGAGTACCTACTGTTTATGTCCGAAGTTTTTGTGGCTCTAGATTTACAAAGTCGGAACTAAAACAACTCATATAATTCATAAATTTTTAAAAAAATAATTTTCAGAAGCTTCACTGGTGCCTTCTTCAATCGGAACTTGATGTTAAAAACGGTAATGCATTACGTGCTTTCAATCGTCTACGGAAATTTCGACCTCCGCTGTCGGTTTGTTATCCCTTTTTTACTCGCGAAACTTCATTTGATCTCAATTTCCAGGGCATGTTGTCCTTTTGCTAATAAAGATTTTGTTGGAGCCTGGGAGAGTAACTGCTTGTTATATATTTTTTACTGGCAGCAAAAGGGTGATTGTTTAAGCGTATTTCAGGACGAGGAACGACGGTTGGTAGACAACGCTATGGGTTGTGTTTACGCGCTATCATTCAAAAAGCCGGCAGCAGCAGAGTCGTATTTTAGATCTGCTATGTTTTGTGGAGAACAACAGAACAACGGGTATGCATCTCAGATTCTTCATTGTTTTTTTTCTGTTTTTTTTACACATAACTCTATGTAAATGAATTTTTTTCATTTATATCACTGGTTAACATGGAAACGATTGTTCAGTCTTCACTGATAAACTACCCCTCAGTTTTAAGCATTGTGTGTTAATAGTCTCACCTCCCCAGTTCTTGGTACTCTACTTTCAATACCTTTTTTTTTTCAATGTTTATCTACTATTTTTTTTAAATAGAGGTAGGTCTGTAATTCCACGTCATTGCCTCATATATCACGCTGCTCTTGCACAACTTCATTCGAATCAACCGGAATCTGCCTTCAATCTTTTTCTTTCAATTCTACCGTATTATTCTCGCCAGCCACGTATATGGTTACGGCTTGCGGAGTGTTGCATTTATGCGCTTACCAAAGTTTGTTGAAATAGATTGTTGTTAAAAATGCTTGAAGTTCAAAATTTCCTTGAAATTGCTGTTGCTTACTATAGTTATTCTTGAAAAGCGTTAGAAGTAAAAGACTTTTTTACAGCTAAATTTTTATTGTTTAGCCGAGTAGCGCAGAGAAAGTTGGAGGAGCTAATTATCCTAATGAAATTGTCTCTCATCTTTCTGGTAAAGGGTCACATGTACAAATTGCTTTTTCAACAACTCATGCTAACCCCAAGGCGTAAGTAAAGCAGTACTTCTAATTGACATTGTGAATTTACTACTTGTTTTCTTTTCCCTTCTAAATTATTTTCAGACCAGTGACTAAAAATTCTTCAGAGGTAGTGAGAGGCCAGATCTTTATTTGTCTTCGTCAATTAGTTGGGGTTTCGCATCTCATTGCGTTCGCAATGCTCTCTTGTTTTCCGGCCTTGAACGGGACTGCGGATATTTGTTGCCATGGTTGTATACAGCTTCTGCTTTTATAAATATCAATCTTGGGAGGCCTGGCCTTGCTCTGCGTGCTACTCGCCATCTTTTTAGTTTGACTCAGGTGTCTCCTCATCATAAGTTTATGGCCGTTCTTTACAAGGTAGACGGTAATTTGCTGTGGTTGATCTTGTTCAAATTTTTAACAAAGTAATCGAGGTGTATTTATCTTTAAAGACTGAAGCTTTGCTCCTGCTTGATCGCGTCGAGGAAGCACAACGATGTTTAGACGAGGCAATTCCATTACAGTCTATCCCTCTCACTGCATCGACTCTCATGTACAACAGAGCTTTGCTGCAAGGGTTCACTGAAAACTTTACAAAATCACATGCTATTTATTCTTTGGTAACACTGTTTACTTGCCGATTTTACTTTCTTTTTCATTTTGGGGTACAAATCCGCTGAGGGTTTTTTAGCTGCTAGGTTGTTTCGTATTAATTGAAAGCTGTTTTCCAATTGCCCAATTCACGTCTTTGTTGATTAACTAGAACCAGGTGAATGACCTTACTGGTTGTTTAAAATTTATCTACCGCACTGTTGTCTTGTTCTTACTGTTGTACATTTAGATGAATGCTGCTCGCGATATTCCTTTTTCTAATCAGGTTGTACTACTGGGGATTTATGTTAATATGAGGCTTGGAAAAGTAGCTGAAGCGAAACGTCTTGTCGAAGAACAGATTGGGAAAAAATTGTTTATTGGACAGACTTGAAACGAAGTAGTACCGGATATTATACCACTACTCTTACCTTTCAGTAATCGAATTTTAATTTTAAATGAACCTTCAAACCTTGTGGTGATTGTTCTACTTTACTATTTCAGGCATTTTTATCTAATTGCTATATTTTTTTTTCTTGGTACCACAGAAATCTGCTTTAGTCTATGAACACAGGACAATAATTTTATTAACCCTTACCCAGTCTTTATTTTCTTGTCCACAGTGATTGTGACTGTTTCGTAATACTTAATATTAGGTGCACTTGGCTGTGAATCTGGCATGGTTTGTTTTCAGACTTACAATGTATGAGATTATTTGTTTCCGCAATCGTTTTTTCGTTGTCCAAGCTTAGTAAAATACTAGTGTTGAACTAGCGTCTAGTTTACGCATCAGTGCCACATTTTTTTATTTGGAACAGTGCGTTTAGCTGTAGTTCATTGTAGTTTTACCTTCTTTTTCACAATTACAATACGCTTTTGAAACTTATCATTCTTTGAAAGCAGTATTGACCTTTAATATCTAGTTGGGGAATTCTGATCTTACTTTGTAACGGAAAGTTTTTATGATTTATATTCGCAGAATTCTTCAATAGATGTTTTATTGCTTAGCTCCATGATTTTCTCAATATTTTTATGTCACATTTTTTGGAATTGCTCTGTAATCAATCTTATTGCTTCGTATTGTTTGGAATCGATTCAATTTGTCTCCTAAACAATTTACTCCGCTATGTGAAAGATATATTGTCCTTACATTAAGGTGATTTTTGCAAGTAATTGGTGTCAGTAGTGATTGAAGTTTTTTGATCTTGCTGATATGGTATAAGTTGTGCCACTTTTATGCACTATGTTATGTTACACAATGCTTATTAGGTGTAAGTGTTGTTTAGGCTTATCTGGAAAATCTTCTGTCCTATTTTGGTGAGGATGTTTCAAATTTGGAAATATATGCATCCATTGGCTTTTTATAATCAATTTTTTATTGGCGGTCGACAATTTTGAGTTTTTAGCTATTTAGATTGTGTGACTTTTCATCATTTTATTACCCGAGTGAGCTGCATTTTTTGCCGTTAGTAATTACTGGGGAGATTTCGCCGTATAGATAGGAAGGAATATTTTATTTCGGGACGTATGGCAATTTTTTTGCGTTCTATGCTTGTGACATTATTCTTTAAAAAAAATTTTGAAGCGTTTGCCGACAAATTTTCCGTCGTATGAGTCCAGCTCTTTTTTTTTTCACTTTCAGGTCTGCCGAGGGACATTGAAGGCATAATGGTAAATTTGTATTTCTATTACGATAGAGTTTGGGCTTTTCTGTGGAGCTGTTTTTGGGTTTTTAGTTTTCTCGAAACACTGAGTCAGCAGACTTTTTCAAGCTTTTGAAGTACGTGCTGGTTTCAGTTGACCCCGGAAGAAGAGTTGGAAAAACAGTACAGGGATTACAAGGCGGAATTTGAAAAGTGGAAGGAGAATAACAAGTTGGTTTGATCTGTGTGGGGTTGTATTACCTTTTTGGTCTTTTAATGTGGCTGTGGGTGGGTCTTTTAAATTCACAGAATGAGGTGCGTAGGTAGGCGTGACTGATAGGTTTCAGATTTCAAGTAGGGTATTTGAAGGAGTGATTTTAACTTCAGTATTATTCACTATGTGAGGGAAGGATTGCAGCGTTCTTTTTGTCTAGTTTTTAGGAACGCAGTCGGGACAGAAGCCTATATAATTTATGTGGAGAAGTTTGAAGCATGGGAAAGGGAAGTGGAGAATAGACGCGAAGAGATCCGTGCTAAAGCTCAAGAAGCACAGGAGACACAGGTATATTTAATTTGTGTTGGTTGTATTTTCTTTTTCGGTCTAGGCTTGACTTATTTTTTATTTTTTTTTGTTTGTGAATTCCGTCTGTTATATTTTTCCGTAATTGTTTTTTAGAAAGCGCAGGCGCAAGCGGCTGCTGAGGCAAAGCGTAAGAAGGAGCTTGAAGCTGAGGAAGAAAAAAAGAAGCAGCAAGAAGGTAAGCTTTCTTGATCTGTTTTTAGCTTCCTTTTATGTATTTTTTTATCCCGAGTATTGTGGGACATCAAGTTTTGGTTTAAAATGTTCTCCCTTTCAATATTGCAGCTGAAGCCGCAGCGCAGGCAGTTGCATATGCCCAGCACCAGCAGTCATACCTAGCTCATCATCAAGCTGCACTACAAAAGGAGCAGTTAATGCGACAGCAGCAAGAAGCTGCTGTTCTGCAAAGTGTAGATGCTGCTGCAGGTATTTCTACAACATTTTGATCGATCCATTTTTTATTTATTTCTAATTTTGTTGGTTGAGAATGAATCTGCGTTTAAATTTTTCTTCATTTGCTTTAAAAGCTGTTTTTATTTGTTTTCATTAGTGCTTTTTTCAAAAATTAATTCATAAATATGATTTGGTTGTGGATGGAATAGATGGATCATATTGTAGAAACGTTAGATAAATCCCGTATGGCTGATGTTATGCAACAGATGGAGCAGATGGCACAGTTAATGATAGGGGGACAGAGCACTGAGTCATTTGAAGCCGATGGCAAGTTTTGCTAGGTCTTAAGTAAAAGTTGTGCTTTTTCTTTTGTGGAAACGTCAATTTTGTGTTTGTAGGTTATTTGTGCAAACAGCTTTAAAAATTATTTATTTATTTGCTTATTTATTAATTTTTTTGGGAGGGGGAGGAAGGGGAGTACTACCTTAGGTCAATATTTGATATTTTTTGGTTAAGTAAATTTAATGTTTGAGAAGTTGTCGAAGTGAAGAACAACTTTAAAGAGGGATGGGGGGACTGTCTCATCCTGTTAGAAAGAATAAAACATTTTTTTTTACAGGTTTGTACCAGCAGCAGGTCTCTCAACCAGCTCCCCAACCAGCGCAACAAGCTATTGGACCTCCACCTCAGTTATGGGGTAACGATAGGGTCATTTTTGATTCTAGTGATCCTATGTTCAAGAAGTGGGGCCAAAGAGCAGCACCTCCTTATCATAAACCAGCCTACAAACCGCCACCTACGAATTATCAACTTTCACCTTGTTGGCTTTTTGTGGAGCAGATGAAGGAAGAGAAGCTGATGTTACCTCCACCAGTTAATATGCCTCCTCCGTCAGTAGTCCCTACTTTCGCACCTCCTGGCCATTGAAGTTGTATTTGAGGCGTATTATTTTTCAGCGGAAAATTTTGCTTCTTTACTATGAGTTTCAGAGAACTTTTCCATTTTGAGGGCGAGTTAGGCTCCTGACGGCTAATTATCAAGAAATATTTTTTATGCGTTCTGTAGAACGTTATTTTTTTTTATCGAGAATAAAAACACATTCTTTTTTGCTTCCGGTTCTGTTTTTTTAAGTTCGAAAGTTAAAAATATTTCTTTATTAGCCACGGCTCTCAGGTAATCACCTACCGTCAGCTTTACTAGCTAGTGTAGAAAATCTACTAGTTTACTTTTTGGAAGGTCGTGCAAAAGAGAGGGGTATGTAGTCAACATTTTTTTTGAAGCTTTTTGGGCTTTATAGAAGGAAGTGTCGCATAATTCGTTTGAAAAATCACTTACAGTTCTGTTGTCGTGAATAAGAGAGTAATATAATAATAATAATAATGATGATAATCAAAGTTGCTTGAGCGATCTCAGCTTTTTTTTTCTTTTGCTGTGTCTTGTTTGCTTTATGTCATTGTTTTATCCTTGTCAACTGCAATGTATTTGCAATTTCTAGTGTCTTAGAGTTTTGTTTTTAGTGCTGAAGTAGTCTTTTTTTTGACGGTTATAAGTTTTGTTCAAGCTTTTGGAGCCGTTCTTCGTTCCCTTATAGTTCTTTCATAATAATTTTGTTGCAGAGGATTAATTTATGATTCAACTTTTTTTGTTATCAAGGGCAGAGAAGTGCTCCTGAGTCTTGAAAAAGAATAAAAGGTGCAAGTTTTATGACTTATATCTTACTGAAGGCATTGCAAGCCGTTGTTCGGACGCTGTGGGTATCAGTCAAACGTGGAAAGTATAGCGGTTTTTGGTGTTGGTCTTTCAAAAGCTGACTTTTTTTAGCGGTCTTACTTCACTTTCCAAAGGCTGATTCAATTGCTCCTTAATTTCTCGTTTAATGACTAGGATGGCTTAAAGCTGAAATTTTAGAACAGTTTGATGCGATTTGTTTAGCACTTATGGTTGGAACAAAGACTTTAAAATATGGCACAGCTTTGATGCCATCCATTGTTAAGGGAATAGTCGGGTCGTTTCCGGGAACTCTAGATGCGTGCCTTTCTAGTGAGGAACAGTATAGGCGATTTTTCAACGTCCCGATTGAGGTTGACGTTTTCAAATGGTTTGGAGTTTACTTTAGTCTTAGGTCCCTAACGAGTTTTTGCCACTAGAAATTTAATTGATTTGTCGTAGGGCTTACAACGGGAAGACGTGGATGTTCCTTTGTCGTCATCAAAGTATCCTTCAGTTTCTGTAGTTCTTGGGTGTACGGAGTCTTATAGACAGCTTTGGTTTTGGCAACTCCGGATGATCAAACAGCTTCATGGTCTAGCTCAGCTGCGGAAGTACATGCGGGGTATTTCAGCACTACGAGCTCTTAATTCTGTGCTTCAGTGATTTGAAGAAATCGTAAAGTGCTCGTTATTATATATCACAGTGTGTTTTTTCAGAGCGAGTTGCGCTTGGACTACGGTTTCATGCTCATGTAAAAAACCTACTTGTGCTTCACTCTCGAGGAGTATTGAAGCATATGACAGACGAAGAACTATGTGGAAAAGTATGGTCGCTAGATTTAGTAGATTTAGCTTGGGAAAATCCTTCATTTTGAGCTTGTCTGATCAGTGCTGTTTATTCATTTGTATATCGTTTTTAAGGTTGATAGGCCTCTTGCAAACTATATTAAAAGCGCGCTTCCACTTTTGCGGTCTTTCGACGAAACTGGCAAAACTGTTGTAGAAAGATTTGTAATTCATCCTCAACTTTATTATTGTGGGCGTTTTGATGCGATTATAAAATATAAGTACGTTTTCATATGTAAGGCTTTATTTCATTCTTAAAATGGTTTTTTTCATTCACAGAGTTGTTGGTTATGGTTTAGTGTTTTAAAACCTTTTTGTGCGGCAATCTTGAAGGTATTTATAACGAAATTGCTGTTTTATATCTTTCAATATCTTAGAGACGTAGTTTATCTGGTTGATTTCAAGACGACAAGCAATTCGTTTTCGCAGGCAGGAAATGACTTGAAACAGCTATATTCTGGCCCGTTGCAGGTTGCTGCATACGTTGGAGCGGCTAATTGTACTCCGTCGTTGGCATCGATATCAACTGTAACCGTTCTTTTAGTTTATGTACTTAACGTGGAGCACCGGTACTAGGGCAGTTTCAGTGTTTTGAATAGATTTTTATGGTGCTTTTTTTGTTTGATTTAAAGCACTGAACCTTCTTTTTGGCTTTAAAAGCTTGTTGAAGAAAGTCGGAAACTTTTCAGATTAAAAGAGGCGCTTTAGTTGTCGTTAAGGAGGATGGCTCAACAGCAGATTTTATTGACATGGATCTTAAAAGTCTAGAAGTAGTTTTTTTTTGTTTTTCAGTCATTATGAGTATTGATAAGTAAACGCAGATTTGAATAAACCATTTTGTCAAAGTTTTAGTATTTCCTAAGAAAATAGGTTCGATTTCATATGGAGGTTCCGACTTGAATTTAAAAAAATTTTTATGTTTGTGGTCTCCTTAACTTCAGCCGTTTTAAAGGAACATTGGAGTAAGTGGATCAGTCGCGTTCACCAGTTTTGGGTTGGCCTTGAAAGCCGACCGGTCGAGGATGGTATGGTCTCATTTGTTTATGATGGAAGAAAAGAGAATTGATTGTTTTTGCAAATTGTCACTAAATTGTGATTAATTCATGTAACTTTTAATGTGCTTATTAGCCGGTCTATTTCTTCAAAAGACCAAAAAAGCGGAAACGCGTTTTTTGTTCCTTTGCTGCAACAGAAATTACTTTCTCAACTGCTCTTTTGAATGGCTAATTTTGCAGGAGGATTTTACTCATTTTTCTTTAAATATAAACCTTGTTTCAAATGGACAATAGAAATGTTCACGAAATTTTCAAAGCAAACAATTAGATTATTTATTTGCCATTTGTCATCTTAAATCTGCTCGTAATAAGAAAAGTTTTACTAAATATACAAAAAAAACAAAAAAAGTTGGAGAAAGACACGGTCGGGCTGCTGCTGATGAAACTCCATTACAGCGAGTTCCGAAACAACTACATAAAGTTACGTCACCATACACAGCTCGATCCTGAACTCGCCCGACTTTGTATAGTTGAGTACGAGGCAAGCTTCGGCACTGGTCGGACTGCAATCAGAAAAACCATTATAATGTTTTTGATAATTACATTCTGGTTATGAACCAGCCTCCTGCACTAGTCATTCAGTACGTTTTATTCTTAAAAGTTCCTGCATTTTTAATATGGTGTTAGCGTATTCTGCATTTGAGAATTAGTGTGACTTTCATATCAGACTTGTTCATCATTGTTGGCTTTTACTAGTTTGATTCGCAGCAAGCTGTAAATAAAACCGAGCAGTTTTTCAGAAAGCTAGGTGAAATTGTTTTTTTACACAACTGCTAAACGGAGAATGATAAGTGAGTGTATAAGAAATGTTCTTTGAAACTTTTTAAGGCGCTTCATCAACTTTTCATTTATATTGCAAAGTTTAAAAACTTTCTATTTAGCCGTAATCATTAAAAAATAAAGCGTTTTTTCACTCACTTCCTGAAATCGATGCGTATGAAGTGCTGATTCGTTGAAGCCGTTAACAAGCAGTGTGTCGACACATCCACGAATGTACTTATAGTCAATAAGTACGCCTAAAAAAAACACGATTTGCAGAAGAGAAAGAAATTTGGTAGAATTAGAGAAATACCTAGGATATGGCCGGGGCAGAATAAAAGCCGAAATTTATTAAAAGGATTTTTTAGAAAGGAGTTAGCTCTTTGAAAGGATTACCGAGGTCAAAACGGAAATACATCATGGCCAAAAATTCCATGTAATGATGAAATAAAATTTATGTATATTGATCCTCAGGAATGTGAAATAGAATGAAAAAAGTGTGTTACTAGTTTTGATTGCTGATGGATGTGAATTACCTGCTTCAAAGTCTGGTTCCAAAAGCGTAACGCATATAGACCCACATGTAACCAGAGGGATTTGGTCAGTCAATTTTCTCTCGTTACATCGGTTTGTGAAAGTCTGAAAGACAAGAACTGCTAAAAGGTTTCTGGTCTAAAATAAAACTTACAATCGGAAATTACTGTATCTAAACAGTTAGATAAGCCACAACCTTTGGTTCGTTATAGATACTCTTTAGATGTTCCCATTTGTCGCGGTAACTGAGCGACATACATGAAAAGCATTCAATTTCTCCCATACCTAAATACGAATTAGTCAGAGATTTAGCCTTTTTCTGCCGCAAATTCGTCCTGTTTTGCTTACTTTCCAAAGAGCTTTAAAATTTTCAACTTTTTTGCTAGAATTGTTTATTATATTTTCTGAAAATCCATTTATTTTTTTGATGTTTAGAAATTTTGAAGAAACCTTTCGTTTAATTAATAGGTTATAGAATATGTAGACTTCTGCTGAGGCCAAAATTACTAATTTTCCAATAAAAGATTTTGAAATGCCCCTTTCCCATAGCAGCTTAATAACAGCTTTAATCTAGTATAATTTCTCATATTCTATTGGAAAAATTTACTCGTCCTGCACTTATCTTGTACACTTTGGATTATCCATGCTGTAAATGGGTGAGGGCTTTATTGATATAAAATTGAAAAACTATTTTTTTATAAACTGTAAAACAGAAAAAGTCGGGACAAGAAAAAGGTTCACCTAACTGCTTCAGGTTTGAAAATAAGAAATCGGTGCAAGTTTTAGCAATCACTGTGGCTAGGATTGTTAATTTAAGGCAAAGTTTTATCTTCATCGACATCAGTAAGCAAAAAATCAAAAGACATTCTTAGAAGGTGGGAAAGTTGATGGCAGAGAATAGCCTTGAAAGGGCTAAACACTGAGCGACATAGAATTGAATGCTCTGTATCGAATGAAAACAGCGAGCTGGAGCAGATTGTCAGTCAGCTTTTGGTCCTTATTGGAATCCGATGTTACACGCCTAAAGCCGTTAGAGCAAAGTACAGAAACTATAAACCTTAATAAACTATTAAGGAGATTAATTTGCTGTAAATGCAATCTTAGCGACTTGAAAAGATTAAAGGTAGTGGTGAATCTTTCTACTCCTTTTATATCATAAGAAAAAATTTACTTTAAAATTATAGAAATTTTGGTTGGTTTGGCCGTAGCAAATTATCCCCTGTCAAATTTTCATCTATATAACGCTCAACAGTGCGTAGTAACAAATACAAACATTGTTCAGTTCATTTTCCCGTTGCATGGAAAATTGAAAGTATGCATTTGCGTAAAAAAGCGGCATAAGGAAGGAAAAAATGTTGTTTCTTCAGGTATTTCATCTAAAAAGAAACATCTCGCAATTTAAATCATTCATATGACACTGTTTACCAGGGATTATATGAAAAAGTAGTTTGTGAAGCAGCATTTAAGTGATTAGCACACATTCAATATCCAAGGCTTCATACATTTGGTAAACCTCGTTCCAACTTTTGAGAGTTGAATATGGACAGAATATCTGCAGAGTAATAGAAAGCGAATAGAAGAAGCCAACTAGTAGGAAGACAATGACATTTCCGAAAGTTTAATTTTAATACAACTGTCACAGTGACTCCGAAATGTTAAAAAGTATAACTGTAGAAGTACTAAAATAGTTTGACCTAATAGCAGCTGCTCTGCAAAATTTTTTCTGGACCTGTACCTAATATCCAAGGGTACTTACCTTTTATCAATCGCAAGAATTAGGTTACAATTTCGCTGTTCTTTTAAATGTCATCAGACATTTCTTCTAATTTGAGTAAAAATCGACTAAATTTGATTTTGGAAATCGGTGCCATTATAAGGTAATGTTTGGAAAAAAGAAATCGAAAAAGTTAGAAATGAAAATGAAATTTTGTCAAAAAAAACCTTGTCGCTAGAAAAAGGACTAATTCAATGTCATAATTGTCGTTATTCTATAAAATAAACGACAGAACGCTATGGCCACATTTAGAATAATTTTCTACGAAATTCCAGGTTTAAAAACTGCTAAGCACTAATGATTCCTCTGTGAATACAGTACGATATAATTCTTCGCAGTTTAGAAAGCTTAAAAATCTTTCTAAAACAGAGATAGAAAAAAATTTACCTGAGACAACAATTAAGGACTGTCAATTAAAATATAAGAAAAGCAAAACTAGGTTCCCAAATAGCTGTTTTGAAGGATCAAAGTTGGCTTGAAAATGAATGCCCAGGTGGAAAGCGCTATCAAGAATAAGAAAGCAACGCACTCTTCGCTTGTCTTGTAATACCAAATTTGTTTTGAGGAGCAGCCGCAGCGTTTAATTGCGCAAAATATAGTCGCGAGTAAAAGCTTGTCTTTGCTGCTGTGATTGCCTTCGAAGTAAAAGCAAAAGCGCGTTTAAACCTGATCAGGACAAAGCATTGCAGTCGTGTAAGAAAATGACGCAGTCCTGTAGACTTGTAAGAGCTAATGGCTTGAATGTTTATTAATGGAATGCTAATGTGAAATATTTCTAATTGAGCATTTCTTGTGGTGAATAAAAGTGCGGTTCTTGCGAATGAGTATCTGTTAATTGATGTGTGAAATTTGAGAGAAAAAGTATTTCCGCTTTAAAGGCCTCTATACTTGAAAACATCCGCCAGTAGGTTTGGCTAAAAAAGCGTCTAGATTAAGCAAAACTGCAGCCCAGTGTTATCTGAGGGATGGTCCTTAATGTAAGCCTTCAAAGTGAGTGTTATTCGATCAACATTACAAACATGTCATCGTCAGTTGTCAATTCAGGTTTTTATTAACTTCGATAATACAATCTCCAAAACCTGCAGAAGTCGAAGCAACTGAGAAAGTCGAAAGCTATGCTTTAAATAACAAAAATAGTAAAAATACTCAATAGATAGTGGTTACTCTAAACTAAATTGGACAGTTAATAATAAGACAGAGATGAAAAGCGAGGTAAAGGAATGCAGGTAGGTGCAAAAGATGTACAATGTGAAAAAAACTTAGGCAAAGGCCATATAAAAGCCGTCGTATGACTGTTCAGTAATGCTGAAAAATAGCAAGGCAAATTTAAATTGAAACAAATTTTTCTGGCCTTTTTTTTTCATTGCCTATAAACTTGACAACCAAGACATTTAGTTAAAAAATTTTGGAGAAATGTCCTTAAACCAGTTTTTGATAAAAAGGAAAAATATAATAAAACCTATTGAGAAACCGCACCAACTGACAGAGTTCTGTTGCAGAGATTATTTTAAGCTCCGTTTAAATTTAACAATCAAGTCATTATTACCAACTGAAAACTAAATTGTCGCACAAACAACTGAAAATATTTTAGATTTCTTCAATTCAGTCAGTTTTTGGCGGCAGAGTTTTCAGTCAGCCTTGCTGATCAAAAAGTTCATCTCTCTGCATCTAAATGATGCAAATTTTGAATTGGAACGTAGTTAGTAGTTTCTAGAGTACAGCTTCTTTTCACTTCCCCACTCTTCAAGAACAAATATTGACTTGAGTAGAACTCTTAAGAAATATACCTGCAGCGGTATCTGATACAAACATAAAAAACCAATCATGAAACTTTACTGGGGCCACTGGGATCTACTCTACTGGGTTTGAAGAATAAAAGAGCGCCAAAAAAAAAGCTCCACTTTTTTGTACAAATCGTACGTAATGATTACTACTGGTGACGGTAACTACAAAGTTGTTTCTGCAGCAAAATGAGTTGGTTTTCTGCTAGTTTACTTTATCGCCGCACTGTGCTTAGAGTTAACGTGCAGTGCTCTATAATGCATTTCTCTCTTCCTCTGAGGGATCAAAGTCGTTGCCTCCAGTTAGACGTCTGTGTTTGTTAACCAGGCACTTTAGGCGTAAATCGGATTAAAGTCGGGTTTGAGGTGAAGCGATGCGATAAAAATTTTTGCTTTGGTAATGGTGCCTATCTAGAAGGAAAACTCAAATTGGTTTTTGTTACTCTGTCCGTGTAAAAAGCCAGAATGAAACAAGTAGATTTGGTAAATTCGGTTAGTGCTGTTTATCTTCACTTTCAAACTTTAAAAAACTTCCAGAAGGTTTTATAGTTCAGATAGAATAAATTGAATATATTAACTGACTGTGAAAGGTTGTAAACGTGACAATATGCAATAGGACCAACAGAAGTTTGCGAACTCGGTTGAAGTCACAACTGTTTGTCCGGAATGTTTAGAGTGCCGTCTGCTTTTAAGAACCATTTGATGTTAGTAAATAGAATGAGTTCCTGTTTCAAACAAAAAAAAAAATATTTTGCACTTCAAAAGTAAGAAAAAAAATCTTCTTTCATTCTAAAACTTATGGTTCTTGTTCAATTTAATTCAAACGAGTTTCTTCACAAAGAAACTTGTGCAGAGCCAAAATTTCGGCCCCTTATAACGTACGTTAGCTAGCTTACTGGCTTCAGGACCCGGTTGCACAGTTTATATTTGAAAGTTAAAAACAAATTCGTAGCGCGCCGCTGACTCTCCAATTCCTTAAGCTCTCATTCTCAGGGAGGAAGGCAGAGAATATTTACCGTAACAGGTCCCAATTATGATATAGCCATTTTGAGTGTACAGACAGCAAGTTCTTGGCCTACTGTTTGAAATGATTTCAGCTAGACTATTGCAAATTGCAGAGTTATGCTGCATTCTTCAGATACAGCTGAAAAACAAAAATTTGAACTAAAGCATTCTTTTATTTGGCTAGTTTTTTCCTTCTGATAATTTTTTTATTGACTAAAATTAGGAATAAATCCGAAGGAAAACCGCAGAATCGTTGGATTTTCTCAGGCAATAAGGCAGTAATGAGTTAATAAAAACGGATTAATTATAATCTTGTTGTATTCCACGGTTAGGTTCAGTATACTTAATTTCAAACCATTACGTAACGAATGTTCTAGGCTTTTGTAAAAAATAATTTATGACCAAAATTCAGTAAACACTGTTTATTGCTTTGCTTAAAGGGAAATAGTAAAAACCTTGCAATATCCTTACAATTTTCGAGTTTTTTCGGGCTGCAATCAGTCATGAAATTATAACACTTTAATTGTCCTCAAGTAATTCTTTTTCTCCTTCCCCTTTCTAAACCTCAAGATTGTTTCGTTCTGTTTACTAAGTTTTTTTTATATTTTCAGCATCCATTGTTTTCACCAACAGTTATGTTCGCTACAACCGAAGCTTAACTCGGTATAGATGAAACTGCAGATGTGCTTTTACAACCGCTATAAAAACGGTCACTCAATGGGTTTCTTCCTTCTTCTTCAGTTAACCGTTAAAATTTTAGAAGACTTTCTAAAGTAAGCTAGGTAAAAGGAGAGAGAACAGAGAGGCTGATGTACTATCCAAATCAAATGACGAGGTCGTCTGGAATTGTGAAATCCAAATTCCTAGAAATGTAAAAAAGATGTGTATAGCAACCAAATTACTGTTTACAAAAGTATCCGATTAAAAACCAGAAAAGAAAAAAATGCTGTAAAATTAGACAGTTAACGTTTAGCTTTATGAAACCAGGAAGAAAAAGACTGTTTTCTAATATTTAATATCATCATTTCGAAAAGTTCATCTTTTACTTCAATTAAAAAGTGGGAAGAACGAAAAAAAGGTTCTGACTTCATAAAATGAGATCCCGTCGGTAAATTACTAATGTACTCTTGAGAAACACTTGTTAATTTGCACTCAAAGCTCGAGTCCAAAAAGAAGTTTTTAATACTTTTTAAGAACTTTATTGTGCGCTTCTAGAACAAAGTAAATAAAAAGACATAAAGAAAGAAATTTTGAGCAGAAATTGCTAAAGTTTTAAAAAACGAAAAATTCTACTGAAGTTCAACATCTGAAGTGTAGATGAGGCGCAAAAGGTATACGGTAGAATTCAAATGGTTTAAAATTATTGCCAAGTTTTTTGCTTCTGACGTCATGAGCAGAGGACAGCAGCTACTAGAGGGTAATATTTTTCACATGTTTATCCAAAAAATTGAATGTTTTGACGAAGCGTTGAGTCGTGAAGGATTTCGAAGACAACGGATGGGAAATTTTAAGAGTGCCGAAATTCAGATGCTCAAGGGCTTGAAAAAAAACGTACTACTTTTTTAGATCACTATTGATTCATTTAAAAGCACCAACGTCGACGCCGGTTAAGCTTGAACCCGTTATTTGCTTAAAATAAAGCGAAGTGTTGGATGTCTTCCAAAAAATCTGAAAAGCAGACAAATAAGCTGTGGTTTTTTTTCTCTGCAACTGATTTTACTACAGTTAGTAGAAACTCAGTTGACTTTTATTAAATTCAATAGAATCTTCAATTTTTTTATCAGTCACAAAGATGGCTTCGTAAAAATGAGACCGCAAAGTGACTTGAATTTGGTTCTACAGCGCTGCAGCACAACACTCCAGTTAATTGAGTCCTTCCTCAAAAGCCTCATTGTTAAGTTTACCTGAACAATATATTAAAAAATTTTCAGTCTTATAAACCTCCTATCTAGCAGTTTGGTAAGAATCTTTACGTACACAATAAGCCAACTTAAAACTGTTATATCTTCCAGTACCACTTTTTTAAGCAAATTTTACAATATACACAAAATTCAGAAATGTCACTGCTTCAAAAAATTTTTTCAGCTAAAAATTTTTAGTTAGAGCAGTTCTAATCAACAACTTGTAAACTAATTTTCCGCAAATAAATTCTAGAAAGACAAAAAGAAAACAGCTCATTTAACGCAAAAAAAGTTCTGAGTCTATAAATTTTTCAATCTTACTAATTTTAGTTCTTACAAAAAAGAAGGCAGCGGGAGAGTCCCTTCCAGCGGGGAAGAAGATATTCCTTCTCCATTTTGCCAGTATTTTGTTTTTGACCTTGTCTCCTCTCTCTTAGCCCAGCTCTCTTCGACGAGTTTTCTGCAGAGACGTGATAAACAGAGAGAGAGAAAAATAAGTTTACACTGAATTTAGAAGGAGTGGTGGGAACTGCTGTAGCGGTTGTTGGTTATAATAACCACGAAGGTGCTGGGCTACGCTTGACTGCAACATGTCGTTTCGTAAAATATCAGGCAAAATGCCACTGTCCTTGTTGGAATCTGCTCAGTTTTATAAAATGTTGCTTGCTAATACATGGATGACATACACAATATTTATCTCGCTAACTTTTTTTTCGCGCTGGCTGGATTTCTAAAAGAACGCTAAAAGTAAGCTGCTTTTAGCTTATTTTGACTTTTCTTTCACCGCTTACTTTACGTTCACCAGTGCTTATAGCATAAATAATGAAAAGAGTAACACGAAACGTTGTCATTTCCTTTGGTCAACCTGCGATAATTTTTCTGTCAAATCGACCTATTGTGATTTTAAAAAAATTTTCCAGTTTATGTTTGCTAATCACTACTAGGCAGTGATGTCAACAAATAACTCAGAAACAGATGGTAAAAATCACTAAAACTGCTTATAGAAAATGGTAATAAAGATGAAGAGACAAAAAACTGTACTGACAATTTTGTAATCTCTGACCTTTAAAGCTAAAAATAATATGTTTGTAAAAATATCTATGAAAGTTTCAAAAAGTGGAATACTGTGTATTTTTTGATAGCGGTCAGGTTGCGTGATGCATAAGCGACTTAAATAGCTGTGCTGTTCAGTTCACATTACAGAGCTTAGAAATGGATACAATATTGACCACCACGAAACTCTATCTACACACTTAACTGTAAAATAGCGCGATACCCTCTTTACAAGAAAAAAAAAAAAAACATTTGTAACTGAAACATAGCTGTCTTTTTCCAATTTTTTCCAGTTTTCCTTCTTCTCAGCTTTTTTAATTCTCTAATTACTCGTAGACAGTCTTCTTCAAAACTCTCTCCGAAGATGTTTTGCGGACACAGAGATGAGGAGGAAAGGAAGAGATAAAAATTTTCTTTTATTGAGAAGCCCAACTCTAAATTTTATTGACACTTTAACTGTATTTTCAGATTCCTGAGGTACACTTCAAAACTGATTAAAAGGAAGGTACTTCATACAAAACAACAGTTTTTTAACATTATTATGCAGAAACCAATAGGGATTTTTATGAAAAAGTACCTTCAAAAAAAACTTTCTTTTTGCAAAGCAATCAGAAAAGAAAAAGAATTAGTTCCTCGACTGAGAAAGATCTAAAGAAGTAAAAAGCAAGTTTTTATTTATTAAATAATTAGACATAGTATCAACAGCGATGATTCTGTTGAATATAAATTATTTTAGGGCAAAAAAAAAGTAGCTGTTTAGTTATTAAAAAATAACACATACTTAGTGTATTGCACCTGATGTTCACAAAAACAAGTTTCTACTGGTACGGACGAAAGAACCCATAACGAATATTCATCGAGCATTTGAAGAGCTCTTTAGTTAATAGGAGTGCGAGAAAAAATGTAGAATTTTTTTGTGAAAAAAAGGGAATCAAATTTAGGTTTGTCATATGTAGCTAAGAAAAACACTATTTCAAGAGTTTTTTCATTTCAGTTTGCATTAATGGCACTTTTTGGCGAGTAGAGCGGAAATTTTTAATGACCAACGTTTTACCGGTGCTGAGTGCTTTGTTGAATAAATAGAAGCAAAGAAACTGGTATATATATATGTACGTTAATCGCTATGTGAATTACGGGGTTACTGCGAGATGAACAAGCTTGAGAAACTTAGACAATGATCATTTCTAAAAACAAGTTATTTATTTCTTTCCCAAATTCATTTAAGCCAATTGTATTGAGTCAGCGACTTTATCTTTCCCTTTCTTTCTTATTTATTTTGAACACATTATTTGAGATAGTAGTCTGACTTGAGTTCAATAAAGCTTTTATCATTACAGTAGATCGGTGCTTAAGCTGGTTAGAAACAGCACCTTTTCGGTGTCGATAATAAAATCAATAAAGGGTCTATTTTTGTATCTTTAAGTTCTGCTTCTTAACAAAATAAATCACTTAAAAACAGTGAGAATTTGGTTTGCATTATATAAAGACCTTGTAAGACACACTTAACAACGCTTCTGGTACTTCGGCAAACGAATGTAAACAGCCGAAACAACGGTCAGTGAAAAAGAATATTTTAGGTCGAAACCACATAAATTTCTCGTGCGTCTAATTGTTTCTCATGAACTTCAGCAAACTGAGTTGTGGTCGTTTTCGTATCTTAGCAACACGGCCAGAAATGGAGAAACCAGAAAACAGTTTCTGCTTGGCTCATTTCTTTGAAGTAGAAAGTTGGAGAATAACTGAATCTGAGTAACTAAATTCTAACCATCTCAAATGTTTTCTAAAGTGCTTCTTCTACTTGTCAGCTGGCAGACAAAAAAAAATTGTGTCATTATTGAAATCAAGACATAAAAAGATTTTTTTTAAGCCTGAGGATTGAAAAGTACCGAGTATAAAACGGTAACAACAAAATTAAAGTGCCACACTTACTGTATGTTCTTAATTTCACGAATGCTGTTGAATCTCGGTGTGAGGTTCTTACGAATTTTGTATGGTAATCACTGTCCACGCCATAAGCATCGCCGGTGCGTTGAGGAAGAATTCCGTAGAAAGTGTGAACGGAAGGAAACATTAGAAATAGCAATATTAACAACACCAGATTGAGAAGGTTTAGATAAATAAATTTTGCAAAACACCATTTCATTGCTTTATTAACGAAAACGATATTGCTAAGTCATCTCGAGACATGCTAACAACCTCCTTCCCTCTACAAAAGAATATTAAATAACCATATATCTGCAACGAGCGTGATAGAAGTAGACGTTAAACAAATGTTTCTGATGGCTGTATACCTCGAATTTTAAATTGAACGGTAACGAGATAAAACTTTAAATTATCTGACTAAAAAATAAATTTATAACGAATAAACTCGAAAATTCCAACAAAGGCAAAAAATGTTCTCGAACTACTAAAGATACTATAACCGTAATGTTTTCGACACTGCCAGTTACCAAATTTTTGGTAAAGCGAAAAAAATTAAAAGTGTTCTAAAACTGAGGAGGGTGACAACACTGGGTAGAAATGTGCAAAACCACTTCTTAGCTAAAAATCTTTTAAAAAGAGAATTGTTTTGCGGTGATGACAAAAACTGCCAAAATAGCAACCAGATTATTAAAACAGACCTACTCCAAAGCATTATTAAAGAGCAGTAAACTATTGTTGTTTTTCACTGATAGCAATGCATCAAGTAATGGTTCCCGGCATTGGCCAAAACTAGTCAGCCACTCCACACATCAGTCAAAAAAGTTTTATCTGTATTAAATGTTGGAAGTAAAAATAAACATACTCTCTGTTGGCAGTTGGATAATAAGATGCGTACACTTTTTCATCTCATTTACATTTGAAATGACACTAATTTGAAACTAATTGAAGTTTTGTTAACGCTTTTAAAAAATCAATTTTTCTGGGAAGCAAAATGCGCTCAGAAATTTAAGAGAAAATGTTGATGTAGATAGATGGTTTCTACAATTTTTGACAAGTGCTACAAGCCACAAAAGCAGACAGTTAATTAAAAGTTTGAAGGAAATAGAAGGACAAAAAGTGGTTGTTAGAAATACCTCAGATAATTTGGTAGTTTGACGGTATAGTTGACGATTCGTAATTTTAGCAAGCTATGAAAAAACGACCCCAGTTTTGATGAGAAGATTGCAAAGTAGAAAAGGCAACGTTGTTATGCTTTAGGTTACCGCTGATGCGTCATAATTTAATTGCTCATCCTAAATATATGTAAATTTAGTTGAAAAATTTATTGCTAATAATTTTATTTTCCAAAAACACTAATTTTTTGCCTCACAAATTTTGCACCAGTATAATAATTTTAAAGCTTTTCTGGGAGAGTCATAGAGAAAGAGTAGCACAAACAATTTGTATAAATGTGCAAAGGCATACTGCTTAGTATACACTGTTAGTCTGCACGCTGTATTACAAAACTTTTCTTAGCAGTTCATGACTGCTTCAAGTTTTTCTTGTACAACAAAGAAGTTGAAGCACTGGAATACAAGAGAATTAGACGGTGACATTTATTCAAACTATTTCTAGATAAAGTGGGTCTAGTTAAATGCCATGTTTTTAAATCAAAAAAAAAAAAGTCATTTTAGTAAAGTTTTAATTTAGTCATCTTTCAGAACTTTAAATGCAGTCACTAGACCCAGAAAACATTAAATAGACAAGAGCAGTTTTGAAAGCATTTAAGACAGAATATTAAAGAGATATTTCTGTTTATACATTAATTTATTAGGATGTTCAACCCGCTGACATAAAACATGTCTGTGTAATTCTTTTTCAGGTTCAAATACCATAAATTAAAATTTTTTATATTCAATTGCATTCTTACTTTAAACGTTATCTTTGTTCGTTTGCTAAAGTGGATCGACTCAGCAGGTGAATTTTATGATACTGTTGCTATTCACGTAGATATTTTTAAGAAATTGAAAAATCCAAGTTTTATTTAAATAAAGAAAGGCAGTTAAGTAGAAGATGGTTTCTACAATATTTTTTTGTATGAAACTTCTCTCAAAAGGATTCCTCGGTACAGAAAATAGTCAAATGTTTTAAAGCACCTAAGTCATCTGACCTTTGCTAAGTAAAATTATTCTCTTGCTAAAAAACGTTAGAGAAGTAAAATTAAATTTAAAAAAAAAAATATTAGCACATGAAATGGTCATTCATTTATTTGTAAGCCATGCCATCGTAATGAAATTTTAAAAAAATTTTTGCTGCTTGATCTATAAAAAATCAAATTAAGCGGTTTTTTTCACAGAATGAGGCACTACTGATGTAAGTCAGCATTGGTTAATAAAAGATGTAAAATAATTTTTGTATCCTAGTACTACGAAATTAACGACAATACATCTGACTTTTGTCAATACAATGAAAATAATCCCAGAAATAATTCAAGAAATTTTGCGTTTGCAAAAACGAATAGTTCTAGCAGCAGCTGCTGTTCTCCGGGTAGAGTAGAAATTACAAAAGAACAACTTTCTTCCTTGCAGACACCAACTTTTATTTGACTTTCCTTCAACTTTTTTCCATTTTCAGGTTCTTTGAAAATTTTTTCATTTGCCTCATTCCTATGCTTAAAAAAATTTGCTTAACAAGCAGCGAAAAAGAGTACAAAAAATGAATTGTTTATTGCTCTATTTGTTGAAGTAAAATGACTTATAAATCAATGAAAAATGTTATAAAATTAGGAACTCTAACCTCCATTCGCTTATGAAAACATAATTTTAAGTAACTTCAGCTTTAACATTGGAATTAGACAAGTAAAAATTTCAGAGCGTTTTAAAAAGGAGGAATTGGCAGTAGAAATGTTTGGTTAAATTCAGAAAGTTTCATAAGAAATTAAAAAAGATGGATAAACATCGAGAAACGTGGTTTCAATTTTACTTTTCACTTTCTGCATTCAGCAGCAAACATGAAAGACGAGATTTTGGAACTACATATCGAAACTGTCGCGGAATTGAGTTTTGTCTCACTTTTTTAATAAATCTGGTCTGTTCAATTTCGCTTCTAAACAAAAGTTAGCGTGTATGTAATTTAAAAAATTAACCGGAAAAAATCAATAAAACAAAAGGCAATAGTTGTTCATCCGCAACAAAATTAAGATAAAGCAGTAAGCAAAATAAACTGCAGAGGAGAACGTGATTATGTGGAATATGAAATTGGATGAATTCAGTTCAACCAGTACCCAAAATCTAAGTATGATGCAGAGATACAAGTGCTTCTCCGTTTAGGGCTGCAGGATGAAAACGGCACAAAATAAATGCAAGAAAATAAGCCGCTGGAAGTTTGACGTGAGTCAGTTTATTCTTTGATGCTTTTTATTTAACTCTCAATCAAATTTTTTGGTCTTTTTTCTCGTGCACATTTGGTGAAAAATACTGCCTCGCCATATTAAACTGTGCTATTCAGTTATATTCTTCCGATATTAATCACCATTTTCTATTCTAGTGGAAAATGAATAACACTTTCTATTCATTAATAATTTCAGTTCCTTTTTGCTAAAAGTAAAACAGCAAATGAAGAATTTTTTGTTTGTAAAATTTTCTAGTTCTCATTATCTTTTTGTACGGTTACAATTTTCCGAGTCGCAGTTTTAAAAGGTTTTGAGACAGGAATGTTTATCAAAAAAAAAAAAACCAAACGGCACTAAGCATAAAGCAGAAATAAGATGGCTCTATTTTACTGGACATCTAATTGACAAATTCCTGAAACGGTGAACTTTAGTAATTAAAATTCATTAAATCAGCACTTATCAAAACCCAGACAAGCGGAAAAAGAGTAAGAAGCGTTAAAAGCAGGTGACGAAAATCATTAAGTAACCTTAAATCTCCGTTCCAACTGCGAAGCCTATAGCTACCTCCTCATTTGACTGTGGTTTAATATTATTCTATTACAAATTTATATAAAATGTAGGGCTTCCCTGCAACTAAAACAGATTGTATCTGAAAGGTAGCATTCAGCCGCTGCTGGTACCTTTGCCTTAAATGTTTGCTTAGTTGTGGTACCTTTTGCCTGTTGTTCTGCAGTACAGCAGTACAACTTTGGAAGGTTGCCCTACCAACAGGTCTCGAGGTTCTTAAATGTGTTGCTACTTGGCATTATGGCCTAGAAAAGCTAGCCATGCTCTTAACGTTTACTGGCATCTTTCAGGTTTTAAAATCTGGTTGCTTACAGATTTAGTAATAACTTTCTTTCAAAGCTGGTAATTATTTGCGATAATAATGAATCAATTCGCAAAAAAGATATTGTGAATTATTAAATTTATGTGAAATCTCGTTCTATCTCGTCTTTTTATGTTAAGATTGGAATAATGAAAGTAGTGGCTTAATAAATTGTCAGCATATTCAGCATTTTCAATTGTATTGCCGTTAAGTGCGTTTACTCTTGAACCTAATCTTTTTGTCGACGAGCATCTGTTTTCATTTTTTTGAATAAAACTTTTTGCTGCACCTCATTCATCTGTAGCAATTTCATGTATGTTTTTATCTTCATACTTTCAAAAATTCTAGTGCTTTCTACTACTGCTCGACTATGACACTAAGCTTTATAGCTCAGAAGGTCACACTTCTGATGGCATGCAATTTGATAAAAAGCAAATGTTTTTTACCACTGCAACCTTGAAATCTGGAAGAGTTGGGCTTCCCTATATACGGGTTTTCTTCTCAAACTTTTGCCTTTTATTGGCCGGTTTTAGCCGTTCTGAAAATAGCTAATTAACGCCGGCGTCTAAGCTGTGCGCACAAAACTTACTAATCTATTGCACAAGGCGACCGAGAAAAATACTTCGGACTTGACACAGTGGCAGATGCATTAGAAGGAAAACAGAAGGATAACTTTGAAAAAAACCAAACCTGATGGCGTACAGCAGCGAAAGTACACATCACCAGAATGATGATTTTTTGGAATTGCATAAAGATTAAAATTCAGAGTTTGGCATTTGATAAATAGAAAGTCAAGGGGAGGCAAAAATAGGGGCTGATACCGTTTTAAATAAATAAGCGATTTTGAGAAATTCGTGTTCTAAAGACGAGCGAATGCGTTACTGACAAATAAATCAAGTTAAGTGATGAA